GATGGATCTGGCTGACGATTGACTGGCTTCAGGTCTGTTTATTGGTCTCAAGAGCATATGAGACCCACACCAGCACGGTAAGAGAGTCATCGTGGCTGCTATCCAACGCGTTCATGAAATTATCGACCATTTTCGAGCATGGTTCCGACCCAAACGTAAGCCAGAGCAGAATTTTTAGTTCTTTGATATTGATCGAGTGTTCTCCATCATCGTAAGCAGCGAGGAATGCGATAAATGGTGAAAGAACGAGAAAGAACGTGTCCATGGAGATCGCATTGTCTGAAACGTTGCTTCTCCGTATTTTACGAGGGACCGCGTATTTTTCATAGCTCGAATCACGGATAAATCTAAGCTGATTAAAGTTAAAGTAGTACACCTAGGGAATCAACTAGCATCGATGTAAAGCAATTTTAGCTCTCAACTTATTTAAAGTTGCAGGCCACAATTTGTGTGTGCCGAGCGTCGTAGTTACCAATTGTAATTTAACGTATACAGGGGTACATTTTTACCCACTCGACCAAGTGAGACTAATTAGGAATAATAGTATTTTGCTTGAACACAAAATGGTCTGACTTAGACTTTTTTTTAACTTAGACTTGGAAAGTGACCGCACACACCATCACTAGAATATACGTTGCGCGCATTCTTGGGGGTTAGAGAATCACAGAGGAGGTGTATTTGCTGAGTAGTCGACTTGTCGCGCTGTGTAGCAAGTTGCAGAATGAAGTTCTGGCTAGGGAGGAGGTGCCACTTTACTACACAGTGCAAATATCTGTCGCTGTCAGGTAGAACTCTCATCTCGGAGATAATGATGTCCTTCCAATACGTACCCGATAACTGTCCGTTGTCATTTGTAAACATCAGAGCCGGATCTATTTCTAACTTTGCGTGATTGAATAAATAGCATTGGTCAAGGTGAGCATAAGAAAAGTCTTTATGAGATATTGTGATAAACTTTTCGACTCCATGAGGGCTACATATCGCCTCACCAGAACTTACAATATACGACCTTCCTGTGAATATTCTCGTTTCGATAATAGTTTTCATGTGTTACAAATCCTAAATTTGAACGTGAAATGGTGATATGTTGGAAGTAGAGGTGTGAACGGACGGTCAGAAACTTTCACCAACCGAACGGCTTTCCTCGTCTGCTTGATACGAACAGCGAACGGATTAGTAGGGATTGTGAACGACTTGATACTTTATTTTAATTCTTTTTTCTGAAGCGACTGCCTTTGCGTTTATGCACCTGCTCCAATTTACTTGTACAGTATAATAGCTGGTAAGCATTGAATACTGCGCTCTTCATGTATTTTTCATTCAGCAATAAAATCAGGCAGCTCCCATGACGACGTACCACTAAGACCATCATTTCGCCTGGAACACGTTGGCCAGAGATATGTAAGAAAAATATTTGAACGACGAAATGCAAACACCAAAGAACTCATGACTATTTTAAGAACCACACTGAAGCTCAGCCCCCCCCCCCTCCCGTATCGATATTAAGATAATCCTTTTGGCAAGGATTTTCACAACACCTGCTTTCAAGAGAAAGTTTATAGTCCGTTTCTTTAAGTTGAGCGCAAACTCAACAGCGCAGTAGCGGTATCGGTTCAGTTCGCCTTTCTAGCAAGCGTTTACACCTTTGGTTGGAAGGATGTCCACTGTACACTCTCTTGTTCCTTTTTAGTCTGTTTATTGTGCCTTTCTGCCAAAACGTCCTCAGTTTTATGGTCCTACGTAGGAGGATGGCCCTTACGGCAGTGTTGGCATTTTTGTTTTCACATTTTTACATTTTTACGTAAAAAAGATTTGATACAGCATTAAAAACATTTTTACACAGCATTTTTACATCGTTGACGTAAAAAGATTTTGTTGAAGCTTAAGCTCGCACGTTTGCAATATATTGTCGCTGCTGAACCTGTAGAGGAGGCTACAACGCTCTCATGGATCTACTTCCTGGACTGCAGGATGCATCGGGCCCAGCCAAACGTGGACGCCCGCCTAGCACCCTCAGCACAAACTTCTACCGTTTTAATGAGCGGTGCAACAAGACCATGTGGTGGACGGTGTGTAAATACTGCTACGCAGCTCATGTCAAAGACCGATCGATGATACCGTTCCCGACTCATGTCTGTGGACGCAAAGAAGCCTGGCAAAAGCACTTGTCGGACTGCTTGTACTACACGGGGGCTACCGGGAACGCGTTTCTGAGCGAGGGTGATTCTAACGTGGGTCAGCACGATGGTGCCAAGAAACAATGCACGTCACCTCCGGAATTTAGTGCAGCTGAGAAAATGAAATTCTGGCGTTTGTTGCTGGAATTTCAAGCTGAAGCCTTGCTTCCTGACTCGTTTGTGGAGTTAATGTCGTTTAGACGCTTGTTGGTCTTTTTGAATGCTCGTTGTGGAGGGATTGGGGCCATTCCACATCGTCATGTATTGAGCGGTCGAGTATTAAATGAAAACGCTGAGTTGCACTCGATGGAGCAACGTGACAGTGTTCGGGCAATTCAGAACCGAAGTGGCGGGAGGGTAAACTTTTTGTCGGATGTGTGGGAAACTATTGCAAAGCTGCATGTACTGGGATGTGTTATTGCATTGTTTGGACGGATTTTGACTTACGATGTCAAAGCTACTGGTGATCGGCATGACGGTCTTGCAATTGCCGAGCAGATGGAAGGCGTGATTTTCGAGCTTTTGGCATCAGAGTGGAAAGTAGGTGCAGTTGTGACTGACAGTGCCGGCCAATGTAGCCGTGCACGCCGTATATTGGCACTTCGGTTCCCAAATATTGCCTTTATACCTTGCTTCGCACACGATATCAACAACCTGGTGAAAGCTGTTTTAAAATCGGCGTTCAAAAAGGTTTCCGAACAAGCCGCAGGGGTTGCGAGTTTTCTGAGCACTTCTACTGCTAAGTGGCTGGTTCGGGCTGCTAAATTAATGAGCAAGCGCTATGGCGATAGTTTTGCTGTTTTCACGCTGTGCGAAACTAGGTGGAACTCTATGCAGGCTTGCTTTGCTTCGCTACTTCGTGTACGCGGTGCCTTAGAAGATATGGCCTTCACATATCGGAGCAGCCCGGATCTCACGGACAAAATTCGAGTTTTAGGGGATGCTGAGTTCTGGACAAAGTTGGAGACTGCAGAGAAAATTGTAAGACCATTGTGTACTGCTTCATTTCGTCTCCAAAGGGACGAAAATACCGTAGCCGATGTGGTTATCTCTTTTATAGATACCTATCGTGGGTTTGCGTCGACAGAGTTGGGTGAATCTCTCACAGATTTAGTGGAAGCTCGTTGGAATGCCTGTGAGCAACCCCTCTTTATATTAGAGTTCTTTCTTCATCCTGAGTATGTCGTAGAAGCACGAAGTCGACCACCAACGGTGATTACTGAAAAGGACGATGTGTGTCAAATTGCCCAATATTACTTTCGTCGCTTTGTAAATGACGATGACAGTGGGCTACGCGGTGAAATGTTCGCTTGGATTCAGGGAACTTATACCTCTTCACGTTCTACTGACTTCACCAATGATGCTGTGTCAACGTTTTGGGGGTACGAGAAAAGTACGAAAAAGAACTGCAAACTTCCTCTGCTTGCTCTCACAATATTGTCCATTGCCGCTAACACGGCAACATGTGAGCGTTTATTCAGTGAGCTGGCGCTGATCCAGACCCCGAAGCGAAATTGAATGGCAGTTGAAAAAAACAATGAAGCACCAGATAATGCGCCAATACGTTCGTGAAAAAAACCGCTGCGAGAAAGCAAAGCCCACAAACTCTAAGAAACTGCTTCGAACAGTTGACCCTCGAGAACGACAGCGCATTGCCACGCCGCTAAACTCTGCTCAGGCGACACCGGCTAACCCGGCACCAGCATTGAATCGAACTGCTCCGCCGACACCTGCCGTAAATCGAACTGCTCCCTCAGCACCTGCTGCCACGCGAACGCCTGCTCGTGAACGCCAAGATGGTAATGAATCTCCTCATCCACATCATCCAGTCCAAAATCAATCCCCACCATTGGTACGCGTTTTATTTCCTGGTATACGCGAAGTTGAAGTTAATTCTGGTGGCAGCGCTAGTCAGTGGCCCGTCACAACCCCACTGCGTCATACCTCTGCGTTAACTCGAACTACTTCGACGGCTCCGCCCGCTAATGCACTCGCAAATAGTGACATTCGACAACAAACGGCTCTTTCTCATGATAGCACCATCGAAAATTTGGCTGGTGAACTCGATGCAGTTGCTCTTAACAACAGGCAGCTAGACGAGTATCTTGAGCATTTCGACTGGGAGGAGATTGGTAAGTACGGAGATGAAGCCACAGTTGAAATGTGGGAAAGTATTTTGAATACACCAAGAATCTTCACTTCTTCTAGTAGCATCGTAAATGCTGACCCCAGTACTGAAAGAACCGGTGTGGATGAAAAATGCCAGGAATGAAAACGAAGATACCGCCACGCCATTTACAACGACAAGGATCGGATCACATGCAGATCCAATTCCAGCGCCAAGCCGACAGCCTTATCCCCAGAACAATGACACAAACTTTCCCCAAGAGAAGAGGCCGTCCGAAATTCGGTCCCGAAAGACAAGCCTAGCGTCGCTCGTAGTTGACAACTGAATGTAGAAAATCAAAGTTGTAGATCGTGTGTAAGTTGCCAGTTATCGTGGTGGTGTATCCTCAATACAGCCATTGTCAATGTGTTTGGTAGCCGTCTTGAAGCGTGGGTCTCGCAATGTTTTCATAACCACAAGAGGTCGTTGGTCTCGCACAGAGTATTCGCAGAAGCCGAAGTCCCGAGGCACTTCTGACTCCTTCACGTTCACAGCACTCTTGAACCACTGACGGTTCTCATCCACGAGACTTACAACAGCGTATTTGCACGCCAATGTCTGAGCTGCCAAGTCGCACAATGTATCGTAGATGTCCACTTGCTCCTCGATGTTCCCTCCTACATCCTTCTGCTGGGAATCCAGACGTAGTCAATCAATTAGTGCATTGACCATCGTCTTGCTCTCGTCATCTCTAGCTGCCAGCTGCTGCAACCAGGCAATGCCCACAAGATCTGGAGCAGTCGACACTTGGGCACCTGGAACAGCTAGCGCGTACACTTCCACTGAATCTCTGAGTACACTATTATCCACACCTTCAGGCAAGTTACTTTTGTCAGCAGTAGCTCCATTTGCTGCTGCAGTCACCGCAGCAGCAGCCTTGAGGTTCGCCTCGTCTCGATCAACTGCAGACGACGTGTCATCCATACAGGCTTTGCAGACACGCAGTGTAGTGAGCCCCACCGACTGCAAATCCACACTTTTGTACACCGAACACGCCCGACAGATAATCTCCACACACGCGCGGCAATGATGTTTACGTCGTGTGTTAGTGAAGGTCTTGAGGCACAAATGACAGCACGCGCGGTCCTTGTCCTTCACCCACATGGGCACACGACGTCTCGTGAGCTCCTTGGAGATCCGTCGACGACTATTAGACTCTTCAATCCCGCCGACAGATTGGGCCCAATGCGCTAGCAATGCACGATTCTAACGACGTTTAGTCCTAGCCCCAGGTGGCTGGCGGATACTGCAGACAAAAGTGTTTTCTACGACGTCTTCGTCCACGTGAGGACGGAACAGGAAGCCGAAATTGGACACCGACGCGCGCTCGGGTTTGTGCGAGTCGTAGAGCGACGGACACTCGGCCTGATCGATGGATTCGTACAGACACACGCCTACGGGCGAGTTCCTGCTGGTATTGGAGGACGATGAGTCATTGAGCGCGTTGTACTGCTTAATTCCGCCCACCAATTTGGACGAGATGACACCCGCATACTCCAGGAGACACAAGTCGACGCCTACCTGTCCACCCAAACTAGCCACACTCTTCTTGGTCCTCGCAGCCGTCCACTTAATACTGAGCGACTCCGACTCGTTCTGCTCCTTGTGGAAAAGCACCGCCGCGTCCGCAAAGAACTCACGAAGCTGCAGCTGCATGAGAGAACGGTAGTCCACCGTGTTCTTAGCCAGGAAAATGTCCATCACGTCGTCTAGAGAGACGCGTACGGTAGCTACAGCGCGGATGGAGTACGTGAGGCCGCCCTTCTGGCGGTCTTCGCACAACTGCATGCCCTTGCGCTCGTGGATCATTGATCACTCAACGTCGGGCTGACGCACCAGGTCGGGCACGAGCGAGCGGCCCCAGGACAAGAGCTCGGCTTGGTCGGCGTCCGAGAGATCGGGGGCCTTAAAGAAGCCGCTGCGCAGCGGCAGCGACTGAATCGTATCGGTTAGCACCACCAACCTCGCTACAGAGTCAACACGGAATGATAAGTGAGATGTCCCCACATGGAGCGTCTTCGCCAGCAGGTTCCAAGTCTGGAGGCTGCTCGGACGCCGCCATAGTCGTTGCCGCCACACGACAGTCGAACTGAGATATTGTATATAATTATACGTTTATAATCCTTTTTTTACATTTTTACAAGGGTTTCCACGTAAATAAAGTAAAAAGGCATGTAAAATACCAACATTACTTACGGAAGATCTCCTATCTGATCGGGTGCTTCCGACTGAAATTTGGCCTAACCCTTGACGAAAAAAAGACGATGCCAATCAAAGACATATTTGACCAGATTTGACATAATTTTATTAAAAAATTAGTATGCATTCTGGGCAACTGGTTTTCATGCGCCTGATTAGCCCGTCAGCTAACAGGTGGCGTGGGTTCAATTCCCATGTCTGTAGGGAGCTCGATGCATGAGGTAAGTGTCGTGTGCAAGTCCTACGTCGGATCGGAGACATAACCAAGTGTTTGGGTCGACACGCCACATCCCTTCGGGGATGAGTCTCATATGGATCAGTCGGGATAGGATTTTCGGGAATAGTTGCACCACCTGGAGGTTCTGTCCAATCGGCGTTCGGCGGATGGCAGATGGGATAATTCCCTGGGCATAAACGTTCTCGATTGGCTAAATCCCTACTTTATTGCAAATATTCAGATCATGGTTTTAGTACAAATTTAAGATAGATTAACAAAACCGAAACAGATTGTGTCCACATCTTATGACATTTGGCAAAACTCCATCCCGTTTTGACATGATCTCCTAAATTTTGTCGAGCTCTACCGTGAGTATTCTCCCACGCCCTGGCATCCTTTGGCTTAAAGGCTCACTTTTAGTTTTACAATGTCGCTGCCACAACCAGCAATTCTCACCTGCCGCCTTACCATCAAGAACGGCGATCCTCTCACTTCGTGCCGAAACAAGACCGAGCGCATCGACTTCTCCTTTCAGATTGACCGTGGCTTTAGGCTATTCAAGGCTCAAGTAGCAACCGAATTCATTCGTCGTCTGCCAAACGATTGGCAGGATGACTTCAGCGTCTATCTCAAGCCCACCAAGCACGCCCCACAACGTGAATTTCTCGAGTTGGACGAGGAAAGTTTCTCCAGTCGCGTCGCCAGATCTTGGGAATTAGCTCGCCTTCGTCTATACGGTCAGTCTGATTTTGTTTTAATGATTTTTGTTTATGTTCCAAGACCACTAGAGCCAAGAGCCAACACTATTCGTAGAGCAACCGAGAATCGAATCCAAGAGCAAGTTCCCCGTGTAGCAGCTATGCTAGCTGATCGCAATATTTCGAGTGGGCCAGCCTCACAGCTGTACATGGCAACAATGCAAGCTCGACTTTCAGCTGACGCTCCACTACAAGTTCCTGATAACACAACATTTCGACAACTTCGGAACATTGATCAGCTTTCGCAGGAAATGGAGACGAATCAAGATACAACTCAAGCAACCGCTGACATGAATTTCAGAATGCTCAGGATCAAAATTCAAGGTGCAGTGATCCAAGTGCAAGTTCATGTTGGAGATCTCCAGGAAATTCTCGGTTTACCGGCCTACAGCCTTCGCCCTCCATTCCGTGACCCGTAGATTTTGAGACTCCCGCTCCCGCAGAAGACATGGATGATACCGATCACCTTAACGATCAGCTCTAAGGAGCATAGCAGAGGTAGAGTACGATGTTTTCAGTACAAATACATGAATTTCATTAAAACTCACTAATTTTTATACTGAGTTTGTTCCCATCGTACCCACAATGACCGTACAAATTTTGCCCAACTTCCTCAGACTGTCTAGTGCAAACGTACAGCGCGACATTGAGGACCGCAAGAGGATTTTCACGGAATGCCATATTTGCGTGGCGTTGGATCCATCGTTTTAGAAAAGAAAAACCGACTTCTATAGGATTCAAGTCAGGTGAATACGGCGGCAGAAAAAATAACAGTGCACCAGTACCGTGAATAAGTTCTTGAAATTCTTCGTACATGTGAATTTTGGCGTTATCCAAAATGATAATTGATCTTGGTAAAGGCCACGGATTGAGGAATGGTAGAATTTTCAACTTGAAAGTCTCGTGGAACGTCTGCCGGGTGAAAGTAATCTCGGCTGTACCCCACGCAAAAAATCCTTCCACGTCGAACGCAGCAAGAACTGAGATTCGCTTTCCGCGGGAAAATGGAATGGACACAATCGCTGGGTCTACGCGCGCGGACCACGCGTGTTTTCTCAGGGAGGACCTAAACCATAGCAATGTCATACAGCAAATTAGCAGGTAAGATGTAGCAGTCACAAAATTGATATTTTACATTACCTTCCATCCTTTGAAGTTTCATCGACAAACACGATTTGAACTGGCCCACTGTAGAAAGGCAATAGCCTGTTCACATACTCTTGGCGCTCTTTTGGGATACTTTCACGAGCTCTTTTAGTCAGCACTTTGCGCGTTAACCCCAAATCGAACCGTAAAGCACGACAAATTGTCGAATTGGAACAGCAATATTGGGTCGAAAACTTCTCTTTTAATACCTCACGCAGCTCTTGGAAGTAGAAGCAGGGGCGTTGCTTTACATACTCGCGAACAAATTGTTGCACTTCAATCGGCCATTTAGATGACCGCTCATTCTTTGGGGTGTCGTCGACATTTCCTTTTGTCTTGAAGAGATGGTACCATCTCCGAAGGCTTCTGGCCGAGACGCCCAATACCCCAGCAGCTACGCTGATCTCAATATTGTAGACATACTGCAAGACAATGCCTCGCCAGCGTATGTCTGATGAGTAGCCCATATTGGATTTAAAATCAATCTGCTGTGAATACCTTACGTAAGGGTAAATGGCCGGTAAATACTGGCTATTCAGCCCTTAATTTGTTAAAAGGTACCCTTTAGACCAAATCGGAGCCCTAACGTAGGACCTCCACAATCAAGTATTATTGGATCAGAGTCGGCAAAATCAAACAGTGTTATTGGTCAAATATCATTTTATTTAGTGGCCTGGCTTAGCAATTCAACTTCAGTTCGTCCTCAAATCCCACCCTTAGCCCTACCCACCCTTGCTTAGGACCAGCCTTTAAAGGTCAGATTGGCCAAAACTTTGGAAAGGCACAATAGTCACGAGTAGTAAGCCGTACGGTAAGCGTATGATAAACCGTACGGTAAGCGTTTGATAAGCCGTACGGTAAGCATGATAAACCGTACGGTAAGCGTATGGTAAACCGTACTATTACACTCTTAATAGTACACTTTTACTAAAGTAGGCGGGACTGAAGAGCACCCTTTAGTAGTGTTTAAGTCTTGGGTGGTACGTTGCGTGTAACCCCCGCAGCTTACGCGGCGACAAATAAGTAGATAAACAATGTTAAAAAAAATGTAGTGCTGCTTTCGACCAATCGTTCCCACTGTCCAAATGTCCCTAATTTATGAGTACGGAGGAAGTACGTATCAATTGTCTACTCGCCAAATTTAGCACTTGTCTTTTTTTTTTACAGATTAAGCAATGTTATTGACGAAGTGCTTCCTTCTTGTAGTTTGGACAGGTGCCTCCAGTTTCGACGTAGCGCTTGGCTTTTTGCGTGTCTAGGGTGCACGAGACCTGGTAGCTCGTCAGTTTGAAACCCAAGAACCCAACGAGCATCGACAGCTACGATATGTGGTGAGGAGGAAAATCAATGCTGGTGGTTTGGCTGCGGGTGGAAATGGTCACGACGAAAGAACCATAATATCAACCATCGCAGATGTTTTAGTAGGCCAAAAGACAGCGTCAACAAGATGAAACCGCACAACCGATCCCTAATGAAGATGGAATATATGTACCGAAAAAAAGTCACACCAGAGAGCCTTGCACAACTTTACGGACCGAAAAAAAAGGTTAAACTACAAAAACAGCTTCAGCAGTACTACAAATGGTAGGTCGAGCTGGCAGATGCAGCGCCCTTATCCGATGCCTCGCAAGGATCGCCCAGCCACATGCGCCAAAGCTAGTAATCTATTTATGTTTGTTACAACGCTCACCTATTTCACGATCTACTTGGGTAACATGACAAGTTTTAAATGAATACGGTGGTAGATCTGCTCTCATTGAATATCTCTTTGCATTCTCTGCAATTATCCTACGACTATAACTCTACATCAATTCGCAAAACGGAAAGCGTCTCTCAATCTAGCAACGTAGTTCGAATCACGGATAAATCTAAGCTGATTAAAGTCGGAGGGTTAGCATCTACATCCAAAGTAGTACACCTAGGGAATAAAAAAACATTTATGTAAAGCAGTTTTAGCTCTTAACTTATTTAAAGTTGGAGGCCACAACTTATGTTGTGCCGAGCATCGTAGAAACCATTGCAATAAAACCATTACAGGAGTACAATTTTATATACATTCACAAGAGCATCTACCAAAACTGAGAGCTGACAAACATGGCTACATCGACCGTCCAACCATTGCCAGTTCCCACTTTGTTCTAAGATATCAACTTCACCATCCAAAGCGACGGTTTAACTGGCATTCACGACGCATGCGTTTTATTAGTGGTGTATAGTACGTATATGACGGACCGTTTTAGTGCTGACCTTTTGATTTACCGTCATATCGAAAAGGTTGTACACTTCACCACGACATCGGTTGCCACAGCAGATTGATCGTCTCGCATCAAATGCCTTGGCAATCACATCTTGGTCCTTATCGATCGCTTCCCTTACTTCCTTCAGCCAATCCTCGTATTTTCCCAGCTCTTTTACATGCTGCTTAATTTTCTCAGCTTTTTCCTTAGCCTTCTTAGTAGCCGTGATGGAGTTCAGCTTTTTCACACCGTCGACCAAAGCGCCCCCCAAAACCTCTCTCTTCCTCGATCTCTTCTTCTTTGTCGTCGGCACGCAGCAGCCGAACATCACCCACATGAGCTGAGATGGTAATATCTGATGGGGTTTTCTTCTCAACTAGAGAATTTAAAGTCTTGGCCGGAGGAAGAGCACTACTGCTGGCTTGGAAAGTGACCGCACACACCATCACTAGAATATACGTTGCGAGCATTCATGGGGTTAGAGAATCACAGAGGAGGTGTATTTGCTGAGTAATCGACTTGTCGCGCTGTGTAGCAAGTTGCAGAATGAAGTTCTGGCTAAGGAGGAGGTGCCACTTTACTACACAGTACAAATATCTGTCGCTGTCAGGTAGAACGTCTCATCTCGAGGATAATAATGTCCTTCCAATACGTACCCGATAACCGTCCGTTGTTATTTGTAAACATCAGAGCCGGATCTATTTCTAACTTTGCGTGATTGAATAAATAATATTGGTCAAGGCGGGCATAACAAAAGTCTTTATGAGAAATTGTGATAAGCTTTTCGACTCCATGAAGGCTACATATCGCCTCACCAGAACTTACAATATACGACCTTCCTGTGAATATTCTCGTTTCGATAATGAGGGGTTCTCGTCCCTGTCTTTGGCTGGGGCCGGGACCCCGTCTTTGATGTCTTTGGCGGGTGTGAGGACCGCAGGGGAATAACAGTCCAGCCCGACTTTTAACCAATAGCAATCAGCCTTTTCCTCAGGCCTCAGAACAACAACATACCACACACCCGCAGGAGTCAAGCCAAGATGCGTTGCCACCGAGCCTTTTGGGTGTACGCAAGTGACAATGGAGAGAGCATCTCCAAGAAAGCAGCAACATTTGCACGACAGCAAGCCGCACAAGAGCAACCAGGCGCTAACAAGACCGCTGAAAACTGGCTTCGTAGTCGTGCAGGGCGGTCTCTCAAATATGCCTGGCTTAACGAGCCCCCTACAACAAGGCAGAAATACTACTCGGAGAACCCAGACGACGGCTTTCCTCTTGAAGACTCCCCTACAGGCTTTCGAGATGGTCGCGCAGACCGTAGCCGCTACCCTAGAATGATATGCGCCGACGTCGAACGTCCTCAGGTCCTCCAAAACAGCGTCAGTGGAGCTCAAGTCAGGGCACACATGCCGATCGACCAGCTCAGAGGCTTCAAGAAGCGACGCCGAGCTGCTTCAAGCGGCGATTGACGCGGAAACGACGGCGTTGGCATTCGCCACGAAACAGAAGGACATTCGCCAAGTTATTTCTCGTTCGGCCGCATTAGTGGAGTGTTTGGGAGGTCAAATCGCGGTGATGGTGCCCGCGCAAGTAAGAGCGTCGGCTCTGAGCGTTATTGCGGAAGCGGTCATGCATGTAAAGGGTGCAGTGACACAAATGGTCATGTACTCTGACAATGAAGCAAATGATGCGTTGCTCCAGATGCAGACGTGCGTTATCAGCGCAAACTCATCTCTTGAGAAGTACGTACGTGATGCAGCAGAAACTAGCCGCATATTTGCAAGCATTTATGACGATAGAGAAAATTATGCAACCACGTCAACAAAGCATTTGAAGAACTTGTATTGGATGGGAGAAGAGAAACCGGAAGAGATTTTACAAGAAATTAAAGGTCTGCCTGCAAATATTACCCTGGTTAATTCTGCAGCACAGCATCAATCGGCGATGACAGCGACAGTGAGTGATGCATCTGTTGCTCTAGAGACCCCGCCTCGAGCATTATCCCCTGATGAAGTTGCACCTGTTCACCGACGCAAGCGGCTTAGGACCCCTCCAGTCACTCCTCAGAGTAGCTCCCCTTCAGTATCATTTTAGTTGGGTGAAGTTGCCCGTGATGTTAGTGCTGATGTATCCGCCGCTGCACTTGGTGGTGATAAATCTAGTGGTGACAATGATTATGGGAATGAGTCTGGCAGTAATGAAGATCTAAATGTGAGTGAAGCGATTGCTGTTGAAAGGAACAGCGGTGCAGAATTTTTAAGTTGTGGAGATATGGAGAGTGATGAGTCTAGCAGCTCTGATATAAGCGTTTTCGAAGATGCCAATGTGGGCAAAGCTGATACAATTGTTTCGCATCGGTTTTTCAGGAAGCGCTTTCCAAAGAATGACGCTATACTAGTTTGGACAGATCTCGAGGACAGTGAAAATTCTCGAACTGTGCACGTCTTCCCGTCAGATTTGAACAGCGTAGAAGCAGATTCTTCATTGACTCAAACTGCGTTGAATTTTTTTATTATCTGCGACGTGCCTCGGGTAATTGGGGTAGTTTGTCCTTGTGGATCGGGATTATACGTATTGATGGAGAAAGCTAGACGCACACATAAGGCAGTTACGCAGCAGCGATTATTTGATGATTTGGTCGCGCTGTTCAATTGGTCATACCAATACCTGCTGCTACCTGTGTCTGGCAGGAACCATTGGAGCTTCTTGATAATTGAGAATTTCATGCACGCTGGACCCACGAATGTTTATCATGTAAACTCAATGCGGAAGGCTCACAGTTCAGCGTACGCATTTGATGTCCTCAATTTGTTTTTGGCCAAGGTTCATCGAGCCAAATCAGATACAGCAACTACTTTTGAATGGAGTACGTATGTCCAAGCCACAAAACCACAACAATCAAACAGTGCAGACTGCGGGCTTTACGTTCTTCACTACATGAATACAATTTCAACGCTGATAGTAGCTGAGAAGCCAAGCTCGATAGAGGATTTAATCGCAGGGTGGACTACGGGGAGATTTAACGCCACCAAAGTATCCGTTTACCGCACGCAGCTTTATAGGGCGCTTATGCCGAAGTGAACGAGGTAAACGAGATCAAAGTGCATATGCTAACACAACAAAAACATGACGTTATTCAGTTCCTTATTTGTTGTGTGAAACAAATAATAAGTCCGTATTGCCGCTGAAGATTTGTCAAAGTCACATTGCGGCTGCTGAACGCACAGTCACACCGCGGTACCGCACAGTCATACCGCGGTACCGCACAGTCACACCGCGGTACCGCACAGTCACACTGTGGTACAGCCAAATACCGCGCTGACACACTGCGGTACCGCCAAATACCGCGGTGTGACTGTGCGGTACCGCGAAATACCGCGCTGACACACTGCGGTACTGCGTCGTAGCGGTCCTTTTACGATACCACATAGTCAAAGGGATCCTGGCAATTACAGAGGTTGTCCACGTTGATTGATGCACGGTTGGGTAGCAGCTTGATCCAGCGAGATCCGTGCAATCAGGCGGCTCTTCACTTCATCATGGATTAAAGCAATATTCTTGGAAAGCCAATTAAGCGTCTTTCTCCGCATTTTACGGCTGTCATCCAGGTACTGAACATCCAACTGTGTCGCTACTTCCGCCCCAGCTCCGGTATAGCGCTGGGCTTCGCAAGATAATTGCTGAATAAAGTTGAGAACAGATCTACGGCGATTGAAAAATCGTCTTTCATCAGCGTCGCACCACTTCGTGCCGTAGCGTTCTTCTAGCTCCCTTACGGGTGTACCCCCGTCAACACCATCATCCCATTCTTCCCAAAGCTCTTTGACAGACTCCAAACCTCTACGCATTTTATAATGTGACGTTGAGGGTTGGTCACTATGAGCCTCGGATGTGACAGCGGAGCTGCAGCTAGGAAATGCTGCAACGCTGTTCTCTGGATTGGAAACCAGCTTGACCTGAAGTATAGCGGTTCCTCCTCGAAGAGGTTGAAGCGTGCGCAATATGTCGGCGATGTTCCCTTCTATGACGTCGACTGTCGAACCTACACGATCAATAGATGTTTTCAGATCCTGGTGTGCACCATCCAGCTTGGCCTTCAAAATGGGCATCGCCTTTTGCAACCTCTGATCAGCCGGGTTTTCCATCGCAGATATAGTTTGTCGAGCTTCACCTTTGAATTTTAAGAATTCGTCCGAGGAAAAAATATCATGCTGCCACACGGGATAATGTGGAGTTAAATCTTGTAAGAAGACGGCATCCTGTAGAACAACTTTGCGAAGATATTGAAGCAATTCTAGAAAACCTCCAGCGGCAATGGACTGTTCAGCTTTACCGTCGCTAATTGCATGTTGCCACTTCTCAACCTGAGGAAAGTTCTTGCTCTGTAAAACGCGAGGAGGTTCCACAGACGCGCGTGCAACAAAAACGTTCCCTCGAATAGGCTTTAAACCAGCAAGCGTGCGCATAGCTTCCCGTGGAAGTGACGTGAGATAACATTTCTCCATCGCTTGAGTATTCCAACGACCTAAGCATCTAATTTGAGATTCGCTTGCACCACCTCGATCTGCCATGCGAGATCCAGACCCACGCCCAACATGGGTCTTAGCCTTACTACGGATTCCAACGTGTTTCAATGCAGCTGTAATCGCCTCTCTGTGCACTTTATATGACATCAACTCATAAGGATCTTCTCCTGTTTTTAGGAGCTTCAATGGGTACCAGCGATCCGAGGAGGTGAAGTCAGGAAACGCCTCTCCATCCACATGCCAGCGCCAAAACAAATACAAACCCAGCAGCCCGTGGGGACAGATCTCCACATTTTTGTTGCGCATACATGCACCAACTTCATTGCGACCCACTTGATTTGTTTTACCTTGACGCATCACCATAACTATGGCTCGACACGGACTATAGCCCTCGTTCTCCAACATAATTGAATGTAAGTCAGCCAATTCTAGCATCCTGACGGACTCACCTCTCATCAGAGCATAATGGCTCACGTGAAACGCCAAAAGATTCCGTAAGCTCGTTCCTGCCTCACGTGACACCGCCCAAAAGTACCTAGCAATTTGCTGGATTTGTTCTGTAGTCGTATATCCATCCAGTAATGTATCAGCTCCTCGGTCCTCAAAATTCTTTCGTTTGCGCTCGTCTATTTCAAACTGGGTCAGTTTGAGCAGCGATGTCACTGCAGCGTTACGTGGTGAAGGATAACTATTGATTCCGGCCTGGACTTGTTGTTTCCACATATCAACCATGGCTGCAACGTAAAGGCTAACAGATGCGCGGCCAATTGTCTCCATCCTATCCGCTTGTTTCGTAGCACTTTTCTGACGCTTACGTCTACCAATGACACACTCTTCCAGAAAGAGATGTAGTTTTTCACCCGTCACAGTGAAGCGAGATAAGTCGCTAAATGAGTTACCCTTGTTCGTACACCACTCGAGAAACTCCTGCTGACGCTTGTCGTAGGAACGGGTTGTATTCTTGGGTCTTAGCTTCTTTGCCTTTGCGTACGTCCTTTGTATAGACTCCTGCATCTCCACGGACATCCTTGCTTCTGCGGCCATGATCTGTACCTGGATATCTGCGCTATCGCTCTTCTTCTTTCGTCTTGAAATGGTCGAGGGGAGCTGGTCGCCAATAATAATACAGAAGACCAGACAGACTGATAACTGCTTATTCTACCCTACACATGGCTTATAACTGAGCTTAATTCACCTGCTATGTACATGCATCGTCGGTCCCGGTCCGGACCCCGGTGATGATAATAGTTTTCATGTGTTACAAATCCTAAATTTGAACGTGAAATGGTGATATGTTGGAAGTAGAGGTGTAACGGACGGCTACCAACCAAAATTATCTTACAAAATCATTGAAAGACACATCAAATTGAGATATAAATTATTGAGATACATTGATTTTGCTGTAATTCTTACACGGCTACTTAGTTTCGCCTTTTGAGCGAAATCTAGGGGGCAGCAAGGAAGACGTGGATTACGCCGCTTGCATGAAGCAGATAACCAACATTCTGGTGGATGACCTTTCGCTGACAATGTTAAGCGACGTGGAGTTGGTTACGTATAAGCACATTCGTACCAGCTATCAGAAGCTTTACACGCTGGAGCAGAGCTGCAGCAGCCTGCTGTAACCGGTTTAGGCAAGCTGACTCGGTCAAGAGACAAGCAGCCGCAGAAGTGGAAAGACGACAGTCAAATTAGGCGCCCATAGGTCGCTAAGCACGCAGCGGAGCTCAAAAGAGGGCAGCCAACAGCCGAACCGCGGAAAAGTGGGGGTGCACAACACGACACGTGATACACTCCGCCACGGCGGACAGGACGTCTTCACTACAAGGGTGAACGTTGGCTACGAGATAGCCCAACTGCCGCACCTGAAGAAAAGAAAGAAGCCAGGTCACATAAGAATAAGGCTTGGAAAGTCAAGCGTGCAGCTGAAGGGAAACCGTCGACAGAGATCGCTGGACCCGATGATGGAGAGAAAGTAGTGAACAAGGTGTTAAATGACGAGGAGTACTGTAACGGGGTACGTAGCCTTAAGTGTACCCTGGTTACATGAAGTGTGACACTTCACACTTCAGGAGTATGACATGTCATACTCCGGGATATTTGGTACAAGGTACCAAGGTCATTCAAAACCAACCATTGGTTAAATGACATTGCATTTCTATAGGTAACTGATAGTTTGTATTAACCTCAAACTTAACCTACCTATAAATATACTCAGTTTACAATCTACCTTATTTAGGTCACTTCGCTCTCTTTAATTAAAGAGGGGACCTGTGAACTGCCGTTCACTGAGAGTTTGTATACTCTCGGAAGATAACTTCCTCTAGCGCAAGGTGCTGTGTGACCCCGTCACACTTGGTAGCACTTGTAGTCAATCCACGCCATCGCGGGTAGACTACCTGAACCTCCGAAGTTCGTTGCCATGGATAGGAACGACTTCTCCCATATGAACGACTCTCAGTTCGAGTCGGTTCGGAAGATGGCAGGCATCTTCGGGATGGAGGCCCTGCAGAGCCTGGTGGTATCAACACCGGCTGAGCAGCTCGAGCGCGTCAATGCATTCGACGCGTACGAGCAGGGCCTCATCGCGCATGTGCGGGAGAACCTGCAGGCTCCGGCGGCGGAAGCAAACCCGCCTCACCCGAAGCCAATACGGCTGAAGGTAAAGCCGTATGAAGGGAAGGAAGGCGAGAACCTTCACTTCTGGGTCCGAGAAGTAGAGCTCGCGATGGACGCGGCTCTGATCTCGACCGAGCAACTGCGTGTTGCTTTTGCACTCTCCAACCTTAGCGGTCGTGCTAAGAGTTGGGTGTACACTCGGGAAGCGACATCCCCTGGATGTTTCACATCCTGGGCTCAGCTGTGCGAACAGCTCCGAGCCGCGTTCCTCCCGGCGAACTACGAGTACCGCCAGCGTTCGCGCTTCCTCGCGTGTAAACAAGGAAGACGCGAACTGCACGAGTATGTGCAAGAGATACGGGAGCTCACGGCGTCCCTAGTGGGAAACCCACTCAATGAACACATCAAGATGACTGTGTTCATGGACGGCCTTCGAGTGGGCCCCGCACGCACTCAGCTGTTCCGGGTGCAGGCAAGCACCCTTGAAGAGGCGATTCAAGTGGCTCTTCAAGAAGAATACAGCCATCGCCAGGCGCGTACGCCGGCCTCAGCGTGGCCTGGGAGTTCCTTGTCGGCTCCCGGTCGAACAAGCCCCAACGGACCAGTTCCCATGGAACTCGGGTCCGCCGAACAGCGTGACATCCGCTGCTTCGGCTGTGGGAAGATGGGCCACTTCAAGCGCGACTGTCCCGCGGAAAGACTCCGCAGACGGTCCTTCCCCAAGCCCGTCCTCAAGGGTCGCTGGCAGAAGCCAGGATCCCGGGGACAGGGGAACGCAGGGAACCAGTAGGGGCGGGGCGCCCTACTGGGGAAGAACTAAGTCTTCGTGATGGGTGCGCGGGTGGCGCGTACCACGGGGACTTAGCCCCTGAGAGTCTTCGCACTCTCGAATCGGCGAAGAGCAGCGGCGGGTTGCTCGTAGTACACGGATGTGTA